GATAGAACAGATCACACACCCGCAACGCAAGCAGTCATCATGCAAAGCGGGAAGAGGCGTTTCTAGCCTTCTTTTCCCACATCATGGCCCCGGCTCCCCGGGTTCAACTTTGTCAGTTCTCTCATGCCATTTTTATGCTTACCGATTAGAAAAGTGAAAAAAAGAATGATCGCCCCACCGGAGGATATTTCCCCATCCTCCTTTCCGCGGCCGCCCAGATCTGACAGATCATTCCCCCATCATCAGCCTTTTCTTCTCTTTTTCGCCCTCGTCGTCGTCGTCGTCGTCCTCCTCCTCCTCCTCCGGTCCGCGGAAGAATACCCAGCCGAGGAAGTGAGGGAGAGAGGAAAAGGCAAAAAAGAAAAGGTCGTGCAACGGTCTGACAAGTCCACCTTACCTGTTTGCCAACTCATCATAGTCAGTGCAAGTCGCGGTCCGGCCGGTGTGGGTGTGGAACTGCTTGCTCTCCTCCCCCTCTTTAAGAAGAAGAAACCAAAAGCTACCTTTACGTCGGACCGAGACCATCAGGTGATTTTACTTCGCTTACCCATTCGTTTTACCGGGCCGAAACACATGCTCGGGAAGTGTGTACACACGGTTCGGGAACGGGTTTAGGGAGAGAAAAGGAGGCAAAATTTGGGCAGCATTGTGCAACTATTTCTGGTACCCAATGATAAAGAAACGGAGAGAGAGAGAGAGACCTCGAGCTGCGGCCGCAACGCCAAAAAATATAAACGATAATGGTGGAGAACCGAGAACCGGGCTTTGGTTTTGGAGAGAGACGAAGCGGATGGATAATCATCGGCTCGCGCTTTGTGAGTGGTTGTGTAGGTTTGGGACACACAAGAAACGGGTAGCTGCATCATCACAATTCATTCCAGCTGCAACATGAGAGAAATCTCGTCCACCCCATACTACTCTGCCACCAAGCGAAAAAAAAAAAAAATGTCAGCCCACCTGGCAGGAAGGTTTTTGTCTTTCCGATTTGTTGTCACTTTTCTTTCATAGGGTAAGAAACGAAAACCTCATCGTCAACCTACCTCCCAATCCCAACATCTCTGCCTTAATCCAACCTCTACATATCTAATCGAGATCTCATTGGACTCCTACCCGATCACCTGCCAAACACACAACAGACCTTTGTGTTCTCTCGATTCCACACACGCGCGCGTGGCCCCGTCAAAACCTCCATAATGTAGGACCCGCCCGCTCCAATCGACAGGTCGCAGATCTTTACCCCCCCCTTTTTTCACCACTCAGAAACGGGAAATCGATCTAGGTGGCTGACTGGTGGGCGGCGGCCGGATACCTGTGTACCTCGAGGTACCCCCCTCAGCCCGCACTGTGGCAAGGCTGAGAGCGCTTCTCAGTGCGTGCGGGCGGGGCCTAGCTATAAACTGGAGTCCGACAGACAACACCGTTTTGGCATTTAAAACACTAGTCCCAAGAATTCCAGCTTTGAATTGCTCGCAAGCTGGAACGGTTACCCCTCGCACTGGTTGGAGAGCAGCGTTTGGCCAACAGATCAGGGTCCAGCTGTCGATATCAAAGCCAACAATCACTTCCACCCCCCGCTTTTAATCTTCTAAACCATCCATCTAAAACCATCATCAATGATATCATTCGCCTCCCCCTAAGGCTGACTGAACCCTGCGGCGCAGTCGAATTGCTGTCGTGAAAGCAACTCAGGTGTATGATTGGAGAATTTAATAACCCCCCCCCCCCCCCCGCCAACGAAGTACCTCTACCTGCCAAGCTCCCTCCTCCCCTCGCTAATCTCGACCGTAACAGTCAGTCAACTGACGTCACGGGATCTGGCTTGTGGGGTGGTAGGTGCACTGTGCGGGGTTTCTGCCCAGTGGTGGTGGTCCGCAGGAATGGGAATGGCACGAAATCTGTGGAGTAAATACACACTGTGCTCGCAACGAGCCGCAGGCTATCATTCCGAGTCCATCCACTTCTGCCCGACCGAACTTCTGGGATGATGGAGTTTGTCGGTTGCATGCATTGAGTGGGAGGGAAGAGAAAAAAAAAGCCGCATTTGGGGGGGGGGGGGGGGAGGGCGTGTGGGTGATGGAGGAAAAAAGCTTGCCAAAACCAACACGCCGCCGGGGTAAATGCAACCACATACTGTACCAGGAGCATCATATCATCTCCAAGCAGGCGATGATGCACTCATCAAACATTTGCAATCTTGGAAATATGTTTACGGCGCTTACTCCGGCTTGAGTGAAAGCTCAGAAGTCTTCTACCAACACAATTCCTCGGGTCTAGAACACCCAATCCTCCTTTCTCTACTTTCTTTTCGATCTGGAGCTACTAGTTTGACTCTCAGCTGCATCTGCAATCTGCAGCTTGCCAAGTCAGGGATAGAGCCGCCCACTGGGAAAGCAAACTCCCTCAGCTGAAAAGGCGGGTACGGGTGAAATCGTAAGATCGAGATAGAAAATCGAATAATGTAAGATGAAGAATCGAGATGTCGATTGCGATTGTGAAGGGGGAGTGTGACTCCTCAGATGACACTACTGCTGCACGCGCGCATGACAAGGCGTACGATTTGTTTCTGTTTGCCCGTTGGCCCCCCCGTGTTGGTGGTGCGGGAAAGGAGGAAGAGACAAGAGCCAAGGGAGAAGGATATCACATATCAGCTCTGGCTATAGGGCTCAGCCTGCATACACTGTGTGGTAGGTTGGCCTATATCAGCCGTCCAAATCGACCGGACGAACAAGCTATCAGATAGGGTGTTTCAATCAGCGCGCAATGACACATGATGGAAGACGGCGAGCAAGAAGCCAAACCTGCATTTGCCATATTGGAAGGGGTCTCGCTTGTGTCCGACGACTGGTGAGAGCATGGCAGGCTCGTGTCATGGGACGCAAGGGAAGACGCTGTTAGCTCGACGGGTTGCCTTTCCTTTGCAGGCTGACAAGGCTTCCAGAAACTCCTCGCAGGAAAGCTGGGAGACGGTCCCAGCTGCAGAGTACGTATCGGCGGTTTGGCTTTGCCTGGACCCTATGCACATGTATTCCAGGGAGCCAAGCAGATCCGATTCCAAACACACCGCTGCTGGCTAATGTGGTGTTTCTGCTCTGGTCCAGAAGCTGTCTTTTCTGTTGTGGTCCTCTCTTGTGTTTTGGCTTATCTGCCCTGTCTACCATGTCGGTGAACGAAATGGTTGTATTGTCTTTGTCGTATGTATCGTGAGTGTCCAAGTTCGAGGCATCCCCCGAAAGCAAGAAAAAGAAAAATACAACTGACGTCTAAAAGGCGGTCTAAATCGATAATATGTCTCAAAAGCACCCCCAAGAGCCGCTCGATCCCAAAGATTGAAACAAATTGCCCGGATCGGCTCTGGGAAGCGGACGGGTAATGCGTCCCTGGATCTGGATCAGACATATGCACTCCAGTGTGGTTCGGGTCAGAGTAAAACAACGGCTTTGACTGACGGGCGCGGCGGGTGAGCTGGGGAACGAGAGGCCGGATCCAAAGACCCGGACTGACTGGGAAAGTTTACAAAAACCAAGGAAATGTGAACATGGGTTTCTATTTCTTTGGCATGCGAAGATCGGGCCGCGGGAGGGTGCAGTTTTGACAGGTAGGTCCCTGCTGTTGTCAAGTGAGGGATGTTTACTCGAGGGAGTCATGGTGTTATGAGGTTCTGGATGGATGGTTGACACGTATGATCAACCAGTGATAGACTTGATCAAGTAGAACAAGCTCTGTAGAAAATTCGTGCATGCCTACCTAGCCGTTGACTTGCCGCTGCAATATCTGACAACAGTTTCAGGCAGTATTAGATATCCAGATCCGAACCGCACCCAATAAACCTCCACGCTGCTCATCTTCTAGAACACTCCGATGGGGGTGCTACAACCATAACAAGGCCAAGGGTCCGACTTTTTCGAATCCCCGCGAGGGCGTTTTTAGATGCCATTGATTGACCGTGTGGCCTCGTGTGTGTACAACTTCACAAGGTGTACGACAGGATGCATGTCACAATGTGATACTCGCGTGCGGCCTTATCGACTGCAAGAAGGGACCTCCGGTTTCTAGCCTCTGCTGATGAGTAATACATGGCTTAGAATCCAACCTCAGCTGTCAATGACGGCAGGAGAAGCATCGCTCTTTCCATAATACTACCTTTCAGAAGCCAAGCCGTCCGATCCGTTGGGGAGAAGGAGCATCGAGGCCGTTCCTGCCCATTATATACGACTTCATTCCGGGAAGTTTGCAACCGTCATCTAGCACGTCCCGGGCCCCCTCCTCGCCCTCGTCTCCGACCCCTGTCAAGCCGAGCAACACATTCCATTATCACAACAACGTCAACCACCACCACTCGGCCTGCTCCCCCGTCGTATCCCATCCTGTCCCTGACACCGCTTGCAAGTCTCAGACCCTGAAAATCGCACGTATCAACATGCCTCCCAACAGAAAATCATCACAAGGATCCCCCCCCTCCCTCCCCCTCTCATCGCCGAGTTCAAAGCCAAAAGACCGACTCGAAAACCCCTTGACACTGTCGTGTAAGAGTCGTACCTGACCACCCTCATCTGCACCTAGGGTCCAGTCAACCACCCTCATCACACCTAACACGATACACAGGCACAAGCTCCTCGTGGCCTTTCTCGCACCTCGTGTCCCCATGAACGGGACCGATATAACCTTGATCTTGCAGCAGCCAAGGTTCAGATCTCATCCCTAACACCCAATCAGCCAAGTCAAGGGAAGCCAGTCCCTAGTGGAACCGGGCGGGATGATGGGATTCCTGGATTTCCCCCTCCCACTCAACATGAGAATGTCAAGCCCAAGGGTCGTCCTTGATAAATTCAAGGGTCAATGACGACATGCCCACTTGATGTGAGGGACCCTGCCTAAAATTCCAGATCGATCGAACTCTCAAGTCCAACCAGGCCAGCCCGGCCAGAGGGTGGGAAAAAAAAATAACTTGGACCCTGAAAGAAATCGCTGAATGCAAGCTGACGACAACTTCAGGGGTTGGAAAGAAAAAGGGGGGACACAGCAGACGCAACAACACATGGGCGTGAACGGACGTTGGACCCCTTCCGATCGTTTGGACTCGATCATGAGGACCCTAGAGGCATGGCATGGCATACCAGACACGACACACCGCATGGAGAAAGAAGGGAAGAACAAAGACAACCAACCAAACCTAGGACCAAGACGAGACCAAGACCAAAGATGCGGTGTACTATACCTAGCTCCCTGAACCAGCTCGCTTGCTTGCTTGCTCGAGATGAACGAATGAGCGTTTTGGCTGTTTACACATGGCCAATTTGTCATGTGTGAGCAGATGTTAGCTTCATGCTGTTCAACTCTGGCGTCTGAATCCCTCTCTCTTACTCAGCGTGTAGTGACTAGAAGGTACATTTGGCGAACTAGCTCTACACAGTGTGTGTTGAAACGTACCAAGTGAAAAGGAAGGGTGATATCATGGCCCATCTGTCTATCCTTGGAGATGACGGCAGGCTCTGAATGAATACATGAAACGTTGTTTGAACCACAAGCTTACGTGGTGGTTTCCCAAACCAACAAAACCTTACCACAGACCACGGTTAGGAGTAGCTATGTAAACAAAGGGCTACCACCTACTATGAAATTGTTCAAGAGCAAAAGGTTAGCCCTGTCACGGACCAGATCAAAAGGCAGATGGATGGACTGCTCAATCAAACAGAGCAATAAAAGAGATGGAGGGATCACAAGACCTTCGCTCTTCTCTCAAAATACCCTCATCACAAAGTAAACAAACCCCTTCTCAAACCTTCCACCATACACACAAAGCAAGTCTCATCGTCCCATTCCATGTGATAGGTATCCACCCACCTAGGCAACTACACAACAACAACAATAAATAAATGAAATCGCAAAGAAATCGCCAAAAAAAATTAAAGCAAAAGCTCACCGGCCAACCCTTGAGGGTGGCCGGCTACGAAACCCTCAGTGGGTTTACTTCGGAATCGAACTCGGAAGCTATCAGTTGCAAACTCCCGGCGGGGGGACCGGGGGGCGGTAACAGCAGCTCCTCCAATCTGACCATTTGTCCTGACCACATAAGTGGCGCCCTGGCTGGATTATCAGAGCTGCTGTTGGAAAGTACATGGTTGACCTAATATATAAACCACTGGTTCGCTCCTTCCTCTTTCCACGTTAGGTGAGCATGAATGGACCAGCAGCAGCCACAACAGCTCTGAAGGGAAGGAGCAACCTGACGAGCACACTTCATGGCCAGGCAACAGGTTCTTCAACTCCCAAACAAAACGTGAAAGTGTGAGCATGACTTATAGAGGTACCTAATCTAGGGCCATAAAATCACAAAATCTCTACCCCCTTCTGGCAGTCTTCACTTCCTTTGAATCTCATTCCCATTCCTCCTCCCCTCGCTCTCCTCCTCCTGAAAATGACTCTGATGACCATGACCTTGATGTCCCGCATCATCAAACTTGTCCTTGATCTCCGCACGACCACGCCCAACAACATCCTTCTGGTCATCCGACGAACTCAAAAAATCACTCGACTCAAACAGCGCCCCATCCCCATTCTCATTTTCTTCCTCCTTCACCGTCTGCCCCATGACACACTCCCGCTCCATAAAGTCATCACCGGCGCCTCTCGTCTTGGAATGGCCCGGAAGTGGCGATGGACTCGCCGGAACAGCAGTAGCAGCAACAGGTGGTTGTCTGACCACAATAAAGGAATCAAGCTCCATAGCCTTTGGCGTCATCACAGCCCGCTGTATGGGACTCTCACTTCTCGCTACCCCCGAAGGGCCAGGGCTGCCAGTGAAAAACCTCCGTGGCGGAGGGCTCCGGTTGTTCCTCCGGCTGCTGACACGACGGACAAGATCAGTGGTTGTCTCCTCAAGGGCCGTAGCTGCCGACTCGAGAGCAGCACGGTTGAGATGAGCTGACGTCTCATCAATCAGACGGTTCTTCTTGCGAATCTCTGTCCACCGACTCATGGACCCCAGCTCAAGAATGTTGACACGGCGCATGCGGCTAGAGGGATTGCCCATGAGAAGAGGCCGCCACATCTCTGCGTCGGTCATGGTGTTTTGTGTGGCAGGTGCGGACACTTCAGAGCGACGGCGGATGCTCTCTCTGCGGTACTTCTCCCACTTTTCCATCTCGAGATTCTTGGAAACGGGAATGATTTGCACATCTTTGAAGCGAATGAGAACCGCGAGGAGAAGGAGCGTCAGGATTAACAGAATACCGGCAACGACACCAGTTGCAGCTTGCTGACCGAGGTTTCGCTGCAGATTACCTCCCACTGCCGTAGCCACAGCTGCCAGGACAAACCCAATCGTGTGGCAAACTGCAAACCCGGCTGTGACGCAGGGAAAAGACGAGTAGTTGGTGCGTTTGGATGACTTGTTGGAGGCACCACGCGGCCGGCCAGTCATTCCCGGGTGAAGATCCGAAGTGTCAAATGTCTCCATGATCAAGCCGTTGCATTCTGAGATGGCGAGACCCGAGAGCAAACCAATCATCGTAGCGAATAGTGTAGGGATTTCAAGAGGAACCGGAGGGCCGGTCGAGGCAAATGTGTAGGCGACTCCCACAAGAGGCAACACCAAGCAAACAATTGTCCGCCTCAGCAGGTGAGACGTCCATGAGAACTTCTTGTCGAATGTATCCTCATTTGACTGTTGCTGGTGGTGGCGACCCCGAGAAAATAAGTTCGCCTTTTGGAACGGGATGGCCACCAAAGCACCGAACGAAATGAAAGCGACACAGAGACCAACAAACGGTGACCTCAACTGGTATGACCTCGACGTCAAGGCACCCAGGAGAACAATGATTAGGACGACCTGGGCGTAGATCCATCCCGTGTAGAGCGCAATGATGAGAAAGCCAGGCTGCCGAAGCATCTCCAGCGACAACAAGATGCCATGGTACACCTCTTGCCCCCACCATGTAGGACCATCCTTGACACGATGCATCATGACCTCCCCTCGGGCCACCCTTCTCGAAACCCGGTTGCCGTTTCTGACCTCAGCCACGGATCTCCTGAACGGGGAGCGTCGGACTTCGGGACAGACAACATTCAAAAGAAGGATGAACATGATGAGGATGATGCTGACGTAGAATCCCCATGATGGGTTTGCGCTGTCAATGATGACGGCCCCAAGCAAGAACCCAATTCCAAGAGAGCCAGTGTAGCACCATGTCCAGAGCCCCAACCAAGCACCCATACCTCCTCCGTGTCTTCGCACGTCATGCTTGTCAACAATCTCTTGGTGCGGGTTGCCGCTCATCAACGAAGCCCCAAACAGATCAGTCAATACGGAGTGAAAGTTCATGCTAGCAAAGCCCAGGGTAAGGCCCATGAAGGCACGAGAACTCAACAGAGCCCATCTCCAGGTGCTGACATAGGGTGACCGAGGCTGGCTAACCGTGATGGCTTGGGGAAAGAGGAGAGGCATAGCCAAGACCAAACTCGACAGGATGTAGGGCTTCCGGCCATGAAGAAGAGGTAACGGCCAGAAGAAGAAGCTGGGGATGGCGAGACCAATGTAGAAGAAAACATTGCCGAGAATGGCGTAGTGTTGCAGGTCAGCAATCATGTACTGTATCGAAGGCACCATACCAGCATAGATGCCGATAAGAACACCAATGACAGCCGTACTCAGGCATGCAACCGTCGCCACAAAACGTTTCCGGACCGTAGACCAGTCGCGAGCAATGGGATGGCGTCGATATGCACGAGCGAGGCTGAAGCCCTGATAGCCTCTGAGACTGACGTGTGCCTTGCCACGAAGGTTGATGCGTCTGCTGTCGGTACCATTCTCGGGGTGAGGATCATCTTGCTCAAAGTGATCATCTTTGACCGGATATGATCTCTCGGCCGACGGCCCAGCTCCATCCGTCTCATGGAGCAGACTGTCCTCCATTGAATCATCAGGACGATGGTCAACAGCACCATCGAAGCTCCAAGAGTTTGATTTTCGTATCTTTCCCGAAATTGACTTTCCGGCGGGTCGCAGCTTGGCATCAGGTCTTGAACGAGTATCCTTAAGAGGAACATCCTCTTCCTTTGCACACAAGAAGCTGAAGCGATGGTTGAGCAAAGGAAGACGGCGGCAACTGCGACACTTCTTGACCTTCTTGGACCCTCTACTCATCAAAATGCAGCCTTGTTCAGATAGAGAATCTGTCTGGCCGTGATCGTCTGGTCTGGAAGGGGCGTGCGTGAGCGGGCTCACTGGGGGCGACAACTCCTGAAATCGACTCCGTTGAAGGTCTGATAGTGGGGCATGCACCATACCAGCGTTAAGCTTCCTGAGGCTCGTGACCCTCTTGGGAATCTCGATTCTGACGTTCCTACTGCGCATACCAGGAGCTGACCTATGATGTTTGGGGACATGAGGAGGCTGCTTGATCGAAGAACGTGGCGTAGCAACCTTCTCGATCGTTCTTTTGTGAACAGGAGGAGGAGGAGGAGGAGGAGGAGGAGGCGGCTGTTCATCGTCACTCGACTCGTAGACGCTAGGTAGGCTCTCGTGCACACTTGGTGGAGAGTTGTGAGAGTCTGCTTCATGGTCCACTGTTCCAAGCATATCGAGACATTGGTGGTCATCTTGGTCAACAGCTTGATTTGCCAAATCCATGGCTTTGTTGAGCAGTTGTTCCATGTTGCACACAGTGCGCTTGAACCGCGTATCCAAGGATGTTGACGCGGTGGAATTACCAGTGAGGTTCCTGATCCTTCCCGAGACGGGAGACGTTGGCTGATTGCCCGCAACAGACTCTACCGTATTTTCCCTTGCGGGTAATTCAGTCAACTTGGACTGGTACGTCTCATACGGCTTGGTGAGGTCACGGAAGAACGAGGCCAGACGACTGAGGTCCAAATTTCTTGGGGTTGTTATTCCGGTTGAGCGAGGACCATCCCCCGAGTTTGACGAAACGGTGGTCGTAGTCGCACGGCGAGGATCAACAGAAGATGCCTGAGAGGTGTTAGTAGAATGCCCAGTATCATGACGAATATGGAGCTCGCCAACCTTCTTGCTTGCAGTTGACAACTCTACATCCGAGCCCCTGGCTACCTCAGACGTTGATTCCTAGTATGCAGCCAACTCGGGCGCCGTTTCTGCTCGACGATTCCTTGTTCTTCTCTCCGCACTTGACTTGGTTCTTGGAGACTCGACCAAGGGACGGAGCCCAACACCCAGAAGATCTTCAGTAGACGGCTGGACCTTCGGCACAACACAAGAGCATGGATGGACAGTGGGAAACCCACACTCTAATGGACGTAGTATCGGATCCTCATTCTGACTGAATGACCTGCCGTTGGCCCACAACGTCTCTTCAGGTGCGTTAGCCGGTTCAGCATCGCTCAGCACAGCTGTCTCGTCCAGGATAGGACTGCGGTCTTGATGAAAGATTTCTCCTACAGCAGGTTGACCCGATTCAAATGGACTGAATACAGTCCCGTCCGAGATCATGGACTGGGCGGAATCTGCACGTTGATGGAATGGCGGCCCTTCCCCATAGAGCAACATATCGCCTATATGCCGGGAACTAGAGCGCGATGAATATTCGCTGGAGGGCCGGGATGAATCGGAACGGGCTTCTGTCTGCTCGGGTGCGAGGTCATCACAAACTTGGCCAGGGTCTGCCAAGCTGCTGTCCCGCAACGGTATTTCCAGTGGCGGATTAAGAAGTTTGATGGGGGGAATATCAGCTAGTGTGCGGACCTTTGACACCCCATGATACGGCTGACGTTGTTCGTGATCGGAAAGATTGAATGCCGTGACACCCAGAGCAGGCCGTACTTTGAGGGCTGAGCTGTGACCAGAGTGTTTGTGGTTGGAGACGTCTACTCTTTCTCTGCAAATGTCACCACCAGTGAGTCTGCGGAAGCGGTAGCCGACGACGGGGCCTTCTTCGTCTGAAGAATCATCAAAGAAATCGCCGAACGGAAACAAGCGTTTGTCTTTTTCAGGTGACTCGATTGGCTCGATAGGAGCGCATTCAACCCCGGCATCACAAAAATCGGCTCCTTTCAGCAATCCTGGATGATGAAGTTTCGCGTGGGCCTTCGTCGGATGCATTCGGGGATCGATGCATATCCTGCCTTGAATTCCACCACCAGAATGACCAGCTTCTGGATCAGGTTTCCGTCTTGTTTCCGGAACGACTGGTAGAGGCTTCTGTACCGGTGGATGTGACAGGAAGCTTCTCGGAGAGCCTTCACGGGACCCAACAAGCCCGGGCGTAAAGTAAGACAGAGGAGCGGCTTTGTCAAGCCAGGGAGGATGGCTGGCCGACAGGTTCTGCAGAGCATCCTGGTATGCCTTGCTCGATGAAGGCACGGTCGAGACACCCTCACCGAAATCTGGCAAGCCAACTGGTGCGGTAGTGAAGCAACAAGACTCAGGACTAGGAGGTACGTCTGGTCCGGTTGTGCTCATTTGCAGCCCAGTGCGGAGCTCTGGCGGGTGGTTGGCATTCATTGTGGTGAAGTCGGAATGAACTTGAGGGAGAGAGTCTGATGAACAAGGGACAGGAGGCGATGGCCTCGAGGCTTCTGGACCAGCGAAGGGTGTAGGAATGGTTGGTGGTTGGTTGGTTGTTTGGATAGCCTCTGTCCACGTCGGAGGAGGAGATGAAGATAACGTATAGGAATTAGGACATGAACGAAAGACGATGCAATGAAGACTAAACGGGGGTGAAGATGAATGGAATTGGAAGAAGTGTAGAGCAAGGGGATTGAATGTTGGTCTGCCGTCATCGAACACTTGCGTGGCAAACACTCCCACAAAATATCTGATAAATGGAAAGAGCGCCGAACAATCTTGCCATGGGCCCCGAAGGCAGGTCAATCAGGGGAAGGAGGCCTGGTGTTAGCATGGAAGGTACGCTTCAGGGACCTAGGCCAACCCATTGAATCAGCACAAACATCAAATCAAATCGGATTGTCTCACAAGATAATTAAAGCCAAACTGGCAAACTCTTGTCAACGCCCAAGTTTATCATCCGCCCATAATAACGCCAAAAATGCAAATGCTCCTAGCGAATCTACCCGTACCTTAACCCTCTAGAGCAGATCATAATCATCGAGCTTGTCGCGGTACTTCATGATGTTCCGCTTGATCTTGCTGTCAGCGGTCCAGGTGACGAAGTCCTCCATGCTTCTCGTCACCAGAAAGCTGGGATCTTGGATTTGCTCAACACCAACACGGACATGGCCCTGCTCCACCATCTTGGTAGCAGCCTGGACGGTCTCGGCCATGCGTAATCTGGTCATGACGACTGGTAACCGCCGTCTGGCAAGGGCTGAGACTGTGACTTTGTGCTCGACATTAGACAGCTTTGACTTGGTCTGGAATCACCAGTCAGTATGGGCATTTGCTTTATCATGGAATGGGGTCACACACCGAAAGAATGCCCATGTCATAGAGCTTGTCCAGAAGAAGGGTCTCGTGTTTTCTTCTGACCTCGTTATCTGGTGGAAGCAACTATCGAGGATTAGCATGCTGGTTTTCAAGAGTCCACTCATTCGGAGACCAAACTTACACTAAGACGGTGGGCCAATTGTCGAAGAGAGCCACAAATCTTGTTGTATTTGTGCTTTGAAAAGGTCAGTAATGGTCCAGATGCAACGAAACAGTCAGATCCTCGATGCCATCAAAACATACATAATCCTCCGGCTTCTGAATCATATACCGCCTACCAACCATTAGCCCCAATTCATCAAAAACCACAGTACAGAATCCATACCTCGAAACATCATGATCCCGATGCTTGTTATCCTGCTTGTAATTGACAAAGTCATGCCTGCGCATCCCACATTAGCCTTTCTCCCTTTCTCGATCATTCCATCACCACCCACTTCTTCAAGAGCTTCTGCTCATGAAACTTGAGTTTCCTGACCATCCTTGCTGCTCTCCGATTTGTCGCCGATCAAAAAGTCGATAGTTTCGTCTTTTGTTGTTTGTCGCAAGTTTGTCACTGATTAAATTCACCAGCAAAACAACAGCACCTTGATGGCATCCTGCAACCCAGAAATTTTGGAGAGAGAGCCTTATCGCCCCCCCACATCTGCCTGCCGCAACCCCTGTCTCACGCCAAGAACCACCCACCTCCCCACATTAAGCTTTGCAATTCCAACCAATCACGGCATTCCAAGCCTCAAAATCAATAACCCACCAAAAACTATCGCGAACTGCACCGTTGAAGGTCGCTTGACGATACCTCCCCGTCAGCGCCGCCCACACTCACCCTGCCCATCAGCAACCATGTCCACCAAAACCTTCCGCCCCCTAGCCCTCCTCCGGCCAACAGCAAGATTCTACTCCTCCCAACCCACCCCCTCCCCCGCCCTCCTCACCCGCTCGCCAGCTTCAACCAAACCCCCAACAGCAACCCCCTCCCCAACCTCAATCCTCGCCTCCCTCTTCGCCCCGGAACAACCCTCCGCCCCCTCCCCCACCGGCCACACCAACTACGGCTTCGAAGCCGCCGAGGATGTCGTCAAGCACCAGCACCGCGCCGACATGTACCTCCGCAAACACCCCCGCCGCTGGCGCGAAGGCGACGTCTACGCCCCCCACGACCTGAGCCCGGCCGAGGCCAAAAAGTGGAAGGTCGTCAAGAGCCCAAAGAGGGATGTGATTGACATGTTGGGGGTGAACCCGCTGGATAATTACAGGGTAGGTCTTGCAGTCCGGTTTCCTTGCTCAAAGATGAAAGTGGGTTGTATATCAGGGGCAGGCAGGAATGATGGAAATCATGGAAAGAAAGACATTAGACGAATCTGATGGTGAAAGGGGAGGAGGAGGGAAGTTGTGGCAGAGAGAAAAGGAGGGCAGAGTAGCTGAAAGAAAATGGGTTCAGTTGCTAACACAGACAAAACAGAATTTCTCCATGATCTCCGAATTCATGACCCCCTTGGGCAGAATCATGCACTCCAAGGACACCGGCCTCCGTCCCGTCAACCAGCGCAAGATGGCCAAGGCCATCAGGAGGGCCATCGGTCTCGGCATCCACCCATCCGTCCACAGACACCCCGAAGTCATGAAGATGAGGGGGAGGATCAACACTGCCATGAATTTCTAGTAAAATTGCAACATGAGGGGAACAGGAAGACGGTGTCGGTGTATATTATTCAAATGAACTGTATCAATACAAATGGGCTACATTTTGTCATCAACCACCCCTGAGGTAAACCGGACAGCCTCGAGTGAAGAACTTGTAACAGCACAATAACCATCTCAACCTGGATTGTGTAAATCCCACACCCCAACCTTTCCAAGTGGTTTCATATATTTGTATATGTACAAAAGTTACAACAGTTTGAAATACAATTCGCTTTTCTATACACAGACACACACACAAACATTTTTTTGCATTTTAAACCCCAACCACCACCCCCTGGCCACCAAAATACCCCGAAATGACTTTTAGTTCATGTCGTTTAAATAATCCACCCACACTCTTCAAGCTTCAAACCTCCTCTCAATATTGTACTTTGGCCCATCAATCGTCTCCCTCCTCCCCGTCTTCTCCAGCTCACCCCATACCTCGGGGTGTTCCACCTTTGCCCAATCAGCAAACGCGTTCTTCCCTTCCATTGTCGGGATGGCATTGAATGTTACCCCCAGCCTAAAATTGGTCAGTATAAATCACTTCACCATAATAGAGGACAAAAAAAAAACCTACGTCTCTACCCCAACCCCATACCCCAACCCCAACCCCCTCTCCATCTCCCCAATCAACTTCTTCACCTCATCCTGCGCCTTCCCGCTCGCCGCCAACGCCCCCAAATACCCATCAAACACCACCTTTGGAATCTCCAAATCCATCCTCACCATCTTCTTCCAAATCTCCCTCGCCGTCTCCTCCCCCCTCGGCGCCAGCTCGCAAGCCCACATCACAATCGCCAACGAGTTATAGCTCGGCCCCTCCCTGCTATTCGTGATATCCCTCCAGAAACCCAACGCATCAATCGGGTCCCCGCACGCCGCGTAAGCCAGCATCAGCCCATTGTACAACTTGGTGTTCATCTCCACCGTCGTGTCCATCTTGAGCATGTTGTGCACCATCCTCAGCGACTCCGCATCTGGGAACCGCCCGATACCCTCAAAGCACTTGACGTAAATGTCCGAGTTTGGTCTCTGGGCTGGGTTCCCGTGTCCGCGCATGTGTCCAAAGATGTAACACGCCATATCTGGTCTCTTGCGGTCAAAGAACGAGTCCATGAGCCGGACGCGCTCCTCGGTCGAGGTTTCCGGGAAGAACTGTTTCAGTAATTGGTAGCAGTCCCAGACGCGGGCCGTGCTGATTTTGCGGTCGGTGATGTAGTCCATCATCGCCTGGCGGACTATGGCGCGCTCTTCGAGAGAGTAAGATACCGTGTGAAGTGATAGGGTATCGATGACTTCAAACTGTTGGTCAAACCGCAAAAAGACACCGCAGAGGGATCTGGTAGTTTCCGGTTCGAGCGTGATATGTCGGTGCTCCAGGTCGGCAGTGACGCTGATAATCCTCTCCAGCGGTGGCTGTGAAGAGGCGCAAAGGGTGCGGAGATACTTGTTGACCACCGGAACGTCCTCGTCGCCTTGGACGACTTTCTGAAGCTTGCCATACACCTCCGCTGCGCCGCTCATGTCACCAGCGTCTAGTCGGTAATCTAGCTGTATAAGCATTGTCTGGATTGTCGGTGGTATTCGGAGCTCTCTTCCGAGCATGGCAAACCTTTCCGCCAGGTAGGGGTTGTTGATCTCGGCAGCGGCGCTGATAAGAGAGTTGATTGTGTCGCCATCTGGTTCGAGCTTCCTGCTGGGGTCTTCAGTCTTTTGTGATCCCATAACCTTGAACATGCCCTTGATATCTTCCACGCCCTTCCCCTTGGCCAAGACGGCCCATTGAAATACAACGTCCCAGACCTGCTTTGCTGGCTTGGAGTTGACTACACCTTCGATGACCGATTCTAGCCACTCTTGCTCGTTGTTTCGTAGCGCAAATCGTACCACCGCCATGTATGTTTCAGGGTTGATGCTCCCAGCAAACAGTGGCTTGCTAAACCATTTCTTTGTTTCTTCAACTCTGTTGCGCTCGGCGTAGAATGTCGTCAAGATCTCGTGAACGCCAGCCAAGTACTTGACGCCGTTTTCCTTGACCAGTTTGCTGAATGATCGAATCAGTTCATCTTCCAAACCTTCGTTAGCAAGCCCTCGCAGGACCCGCATCCACATCCCGTTTGCTTTCTGAATAACCTTAAAGCCATCATCAGTATAGGCCCCTACCCGCGACGGCTTTGGGAGGTTCTCCTGGTAGTCGTTCATCCTCTCCACAGCCTCCTGCGATGCCCCGAACCTCGTAAGGGCGGTAATGAAATAGGCAAAGAACGTGCTTTGATCTCTGTCCGAGATGCCAATCGCCTGCGTGATCTCCTCCTCGCTCAGCCCGATGGTCCGCATATGGTCTATCCTCCGCTTCGTTTCTCCATACACCAACCTCACCAACTCGAGGTGGTTATCCGCTTTTCCTCTCGGCGGCCGCACAGCAATCTCGAGTATGAGCTTAAGATCTGCAAACGTAAAAGAGTCACCTCCGCCTTCGGTGGATAAAAGATGGCGCAACAGCCGCACGGCTAGAAAGGCCTGGGTCGAGTTTATGGACCCAGGAACACTGATACGGCGGCCTATTTTTGCTGCTCCTCCGCGCTTCCTCATATGGTTGAAAAACTCCTTGAAGCCGGTGACCAAGCCTTCTCTTTCGGGTGGGCGGGCATCTTCGACCTCGAGGGCCCTGAACTGGAGCAAGGTTTCATAGCCGGGCGGGACGTCGGGAGCTTTGAGTTCGCGGGCAGGCTTCTTGAACACGCCAAAGAAGGTTCTTCGAGGTGGTGTCGTGAGTGTCAACGAAGGTGTCGAGGCAGCGAGACATCGAGCGCGGGCGTGATAGCTCGAGAGCACAGAAGCGGGACATGGAGGGGCGCCAGGGCCGCCGGCCAGCAGTCGACGGTGGGCATTGCGAGTCAACTGCGACCGCATGTTGGGAGATGGAAAAGGAAAACTAGACCGAGGCAGCCGTGCACATGTTTGGTTGTGTTGTCGTCCTTTTGCCGTCGCAATGGCGGGCGGGGAGACGGATATCGACGGGAGCTTCTCTTTCCCAAGCTTTTTTCGCCAGAGCACCACTTGAATGATGACGCTCAATTTGCTTAGGTCTGCTTGCTGTGGCGGCAGTGCTTGGCGCGCTCAGGTGCTCTCCCCTGCAACCAAAGCTGCAATCAGCGGTCGGGTCCGATGATTTGCCGAAGCTTGACGTTCGGTGGCCCCTCCTCCAACGGGCGAACTGTCATGGACTCATGGACACTTCATCTCGCAGCAATTGGATGCCCCTTGTCCAGTGTCTGATCTATTTGTTGACTTTGGTCAAGCATGACTGACCCCTTTATTAATAGGGTGCAGCCTAGGACATTGGGCGGTCGCCGACGATGCCTTCCTGTCATCCATGGTGCTCCCAGGTCATCAGGCATGCCTTCCTCCATGGCTATCATGCCTTCCCCAGAGGTTGTCATTTGGCACAACCGTATTTTGCATGGAAAGGTTGAAAGCGCCACTGGGCAACATGACGTTTTTGCCCACCAACGCAAAATTTGAACACTTGGTCTTTTCCAAGTATATCAGGCGGTTTTCTTTCCTGGATCACTTATTTCTTTCTTCTCTTCACTTCCAACACTTACTGATACACTTACTGATACACTTACTGATACACTTACTTCTTATCATCTCTCATTTTCTCCCCAATCGAACCGAGAAACAGTCGACATCATGAGTCTGCTGCGGACATTTCTTGAATCCATCAGCTTCCTTTTTACTCGAAGACGAACCATGCCATTCCCCAAGTTGGAAGACGGGCCCAAGTTGGAAGACGGGCCCAAGTTGGAAGACGGGCCCAAGTTGGAAGACGTGCCCAAGTTGGAAGACGTGCCCAAGTTGGAAGACGTGCCACGTATTGTCGAGAATGAGCTGTCCTGTTGGCACGCTGATCTGGCATCCCTCCACGACATCTTCTATCGGCCGGGCCACGACGACGTCATCAGCATCTTTGTTCTTTGCGACGATATTATACATGCGCTTAGCGTATCCAGCCGATGCGAGGGCAACTTCGACCACGACGCAGAGGACCTCCAGATCGAGTTCGACTTGATCTCAAGGACTAGGCTTGTCCAGCACCTGAGGAGCGCCATCCAACTCCGTAAACAGGCGCACAAGTGGGGCAACACTTTGCGGGAACTCAGCAGCAAGCTTGAGGGAGGGCCACGGGTGAGGCCCAGAATTGGACTCGGTGATTTGGCTACGACTTGGTCCGTTTATGTCGCGGCATGCAACCAGTTCAACCGTCGTTTCCTGTACAACGGCATCCTACTGTTCCTTCTGACGGTGAGTGTTTCCACTAACTTCCTGGCCACTTCAGGATACACCACTAACATAGCAAATAGTTCGTGAGCTGTACACTACTGCAAACATACTGGGCCATCCCAGTCATTATTCTTGGCTATACAGTCTCTTGCTGCCAACAGTGCGTCTCCACCCCTCTTCGATAAGCAATGATCACAGAAGCTAACCAGCACCACAGTGTCTACAAGGAACACATCGAAGCTCAAGCTCAGCGTGTTCAGGTCATCAAACTTCTCAAGGACTCTATGGACGAGGTACCCAGCTTGTTAGAGCGGGCACAGGCTTGCGAGAACAAGATTACGGATCTAGTGAGGAGGTCGCGTGTCTATCCACCAACCATATCCGACTTTATTACCATGGCCTGCAGAATACATGGGGAACCCAGTATGGACGAGAGAAAGGCTCGAGTGAATGTTATGGTGCCCCAGTGGATCGAGCTGTTTGGGAACACTGACCTGCCTCAACATGGAGGATTGGACCAAGAGATGAGAAGGTTGGCGGGTGATATTGCCGACATGTTGATGTGGACTTTTGGGGATGCCGGCAGATATTCTGTGGATAGGGAGACTTGAGAGGAGACGAAGAGGGAGCATCAAATTTTGGGGTTCTGTGGGCCGGTAAGAGGGATGAAGCATGTGAGGTTTGCATTTGGGAAGGCTCTGATCCGAGTCGTCATACGTCTTGCTGCGGTGTATGTCCGTGGCGATGAAGCGATTATACCATATGATCAAAGCTGCATGCTTTGGCATTTTACTGGGAATGATAGAGAGCGTTGGTTGGCCAATCTGCTTCGCAGTGTGGTGATGTTGTGAAGTCCAAGATGTCTTGAAGTTCATGGTTTGTGAAGCTCGAGTTCAACCCTAACCCTTCCTTCTGATCCAACAACACCAACCCACCCATCCATTCATCTCATTGGTCGCCTTTTCACTCACAACAGTCAACTTACACGACTTGCTCAACTTCCAACTTACAACTCACCGACAAAATCACCCCCGAGTCACATCTACTCTTCTTCTCTGGTTTTATTTTTCCGTCGTAGGTAGCGGACAAGATGTCACACACCGCCCCGCCAACAATCATATCCCTCAAAACCAACTTTTTGAGTGCTCAAACCCGCGCGTTGTCGAACCCGTTGCATCCGTCCCGCGCCTGGCAGACGACAAACGAGGAGTTACCGGACAAGGCTGTGAATGACGTGATGGCGAAGCTGAATAACAGGGTGCTGCAGCACTGCAAACGGGTGTATGCGCCACAGGCGACGAGGCATGTTGCTGAGCAGATTGAGGCGCTTTATATCTCGTCTTCTTACGAAAGTCTGGAGTTGGAGGGGGATGGGGGGGAGGGGGAAGGGGTGAGGGAGGGGGAGGATTTAGGTACGTACCTATACAAAAAACAAAATGATGAGGGAAAGGAGTGGGTGCTGATAATGAATAGCGGAGGGGGGGGTGATTGAAAGGTTGGCGGATAGATGGGGGGGTGATGATGGGGAGGACGAGGAGGAGAGGGGGAGGTATGAGGAGCTGGTTGGGAGATTGAAGAGGTTGGAGGGGGAGAGGAAGGAGGTTGAGGGGCGGGTGGGGAGGTTGAGGGGGTTGAGGAAGCTGTTGGAGCCTTTTGAGGGGGCGGGGGAGTGTGTGCAGGAGAATTTGGTGGGGAGGAATGGAGAGGTGGAACAGGAGTTGGAGAGGATGAGGATGTTGCTTGTGAGGGTCGGGGGACGGGTGGTTGGGTTGAAGAGGCGGGGGGATGATGTGGATGGGGATGAGGAGATGGAGGGGGTTGAGGGGGTGTTGGGGAGGTTTTGAGGAGGTGATGGTTGGGTGGTGGGAGGGGAATAGGGGGCGTTTTGGAGTTGTGGTTCGCGATCTGGGCGTTGTTTGTTTTGGTCTTTTCTTCAAAGGGCTGGATGGTCTTATCCCGCACGAGGAAGACTTTGAAAATACAGATTAGAGCAGCACGATGAGTTTAGTGGAATATCGAAAACTCAGCTCTGGACTTGGTCTGTTGCTACCAAAACCTGATGTCTTCAAAGGTTTAAGACATGATCACTACCAAACTGTGCCGTCACTGTCGGCCAAATTCTCGATATGCAATGACACCCTTCTCGAAAAAAGGGGCTGGTCCAGGCCCCCTGAGCTCGAGGGCCCTAGCGGGGCTGGGTGCTGAGAGGAATAACCGGGCTTCTGGGCAACAGTGCCGGTTACCCAGTGTTTCCCACCCGACCCAACACCACGGAACGCTTGCAAAACGCACGCGATCTTCCCCTTTGATGAACGGGTAAAAAGAACCCATGCAGATGACCTACAAATTTCCTCTTGGCTTCGCGTGGGTGGCACGCCTCCATTCCAGGGTTGTGCGACACCATCCCCCGGGCATCCGAGCGCGGGAGCCCCCCGTTTGGTAACCCCTCGTTGCCGTCAAGCGCTAGCGCGGTTGGACTTCTGCCGCCTTCAGGAGAAGAGGAAAAGTAAAAGATGACAATTTTGTTGCCCGGAAGGATTGTGTAGATATTCCGTAGGAAGGTCGGGTGTGGTCTCCGTAAGGCGGCCAATAAGTAGTGAACACAAGAAAGGAGCTTCGGGTTTATTTGTCATTGATCTCGGTTTATGCACAGTGATCTTCCCCTACGGCGAACACCCCTGTTGGAGCACCACGGGCCAGGCTGGGCAGAGAGGTCGTTGCGCGCGCGCTGTGGTTGGACTTTCTTTAGCGGTCCAAGTCTTCTCCCGACCTCCAAGTTCCGCCCGACACACACAAAGGACACCCAAAGTTTACCACGCCTACCTGACTTTGGTTCTTGTTTTCTTTAAACTTTCTCGGCGTGAAGCCACCATCCTGTCAAAACCAACTCCAACGCGCATCGGGCACGCGACGACATGTCGGGAGCCATGAGCAAGCGCCAGGCGGCGCGCAATGAGAAAGTCTTGCAAGAGCTTGTTCAGACCGTTCCCGGCAACAACTTTTGCGCCGATTGTTCAGCCCGGAATCCATGTAAATTGGCCTCCTTTTTTTCCTCTGACGATCTGTGTAGTACCTTGGACTGATCACACGCGCTTCCGCTATAGCTTGGGCATCATGGAGTGTATGTTAGGACCGAATCGGGCTCGCCCGCCTCCCCCACGCGACCCTCTGTAATTTCACCCGCGACGATGGCACTGTAACTGACAATCATGGGGCAGTTGGGCATCTTTTTGTGCATGCGGTGCGCTACCCTGCACCGCAAGATGGGGACACACGTGTCCAAGGTCAAGTCGCTAAGCATGGACAGTTGGACCAACGAACAAGTCGATGTAAGGCCAGGCCACGATAATAGCCCCCCCCAGTGCCCCCGCCCTTCCGCGCCGAGGCTAATATTCCTGTGTAGAACATGAAGAAGGTCGGCAATGTTGTTTCGAACAAGATCTACAACCCCGACAACAAGAAGCCTTCCATCCCCGTCGACGTCGAAGAGGCCGACAGCGTTATGGAGCGATATATCCGCTCAAAGTACATGAATCGGACCTTGGCCGCGGCCAAGAAGCACCACACCGGCAGCAGTGAAGATACCCCTCCTCCGCTCCCACCAAAGACCCCAAGCCGATTTGGCCTCCGTTCTGCCTCGTCGATATTTCCACTGGGCTCCAAGAAGAAGTCGAGTCCAGGCCGCGAACCGACTAGTCCTCGTGATGACCGATCTCACCCTCCACTTCGAAACAAGGGGTCTGCTGTGTTTGGCGTAAGCTTTTCGGCTGAACCGGACAAGGTGGAGGATACGGAGCAAAAGTTGACCAAACTCCGGGATATGGGTTTCACGGATGAAAGCAGGAATGCGATGGTTTTGAAGGGCGTGGGTGGAAACTTGGAGAAAGCGATTGAGGCCTTGGTACGGTTAGGAGAGGGCAGTGGAAGAGCACCCGGAGGCCTGTTGCAGCCAGTACGGACGTCATCGATGCCATTGGGCAGGAATTTGACGACAGGAACACCAACTTCGGCACGTCCGATCAGTCCAGCAAGTACAAACCCGTTCGACATGCTCGACACGCCGCCGCCACCACAGCCTTTGTCTTCGCAATCAACAGGGACTTTGCAGAACAAGAATCCGTATCTACCGACGAATCCTTTCGGTGCTCCCCAGCAGGCTCAACCAGCACCATCAGCTTTCGATTTGGCTTTCCAGAACTTATCACTAGCTCCTCCTCAGCAGCCATTATTCCCGAATCATACAGGCGGTCTACTTCCTCAACAGCAGCAGCAACAGGTACAGCAGACCCAAGCGATCTATCAACAGCAGCCGATGACGGCTCCACTTGGGGGTCCTTTCATTGGTATGGTATCGCCTGGGGAGCAGCCTTATGGCCAGGTGGGAGTGTATGGTAGCCAAACATATCCCCAGCCGCAACCTCTGCAACCCCAGTCAACCGGATACAATCCCTTTTTCCAGAACCAGCAGCCTCAACAGCAGCCATTGTCTGTCAATACTACTGGTTTCAACGGGAACTACGGGAACAACCCCTTTACCAAGTCACCAACCCGTCTCCAGTCACCAATGCTCAGTCAGATTCCCGAACAGACGCAGCAAAATTTCTACGCGACCCAGCCTCAACAGCAACTGCAGCAGTCGAATCCCTTCTTCTCTCAACAACCCAACGCTCTGCAGCAACCACAACAGCAGCAGCAGCAGCAGCAGCAGCAGTACGGACAGCTCTCACCCATGTTGCAAGTACCCCAGCAACAAGTACCACAACAGATGGGTCTCCCGCCCCAAGTGACCGGTTACTTCGCCCAGCACCAACCACAACAGCAGCAGCAGCAACTTACATATCAGCAGCAAATGCCCGTGCAACAGCAAAGACCAGACAAGGCCTCCATCCTGGCTCTCTACGGCCAACAGCCCCAGGTATCGGCAAACCCATATGGAGCTCCTCAGGACATAGCACAGGCCACACCAGTCCAAACACCCAACTCGCTTTACCCACCGTCTCAGCAGCCCCAGCAACAGCAGGCAGTGCCCACGCCCGTTAGTCCCGCGGCGACGGGCAGCAAGAACCCGTTTGTGATGAGCATGGGCGGTGCGGCAGCACCAGCAGCAGCTGCTGCTGCTCCTCAGCAAGAGCCAAAGCTGCACAATGTCAGCAGGGAGAGCATGATGGCTGTTGGGTTGGAGTGGACTAATGGCCGGCATAGCCCGGATGCGTTTTCGGGGTTGAGTGCCAGGGGGCGGTAATCTTGTGAGCAGGAGAGGGGTTTGTCATGGTTGGGTGTTCTTTGTACATAATAGGGAGGTTGATATCGAATTTTTGCTGAGATGGATGACTGGGGGGAAATGTGCGGGGAAGCTTGATTGTATTGATATTTATTCTGTAGGAAGATATGGGCATGGAGCATAGTTGAAAGAGTACATATATGGGATGGGGGGGGGGGGGGGGGCGGGTGGTGATAAGTCATAAGAAAGGAGAGAGATATCATTGTATGGATGGGGATATTTTACACACTGTAATGGGGGGAATAAAACTGAGAGAGATGTTTTTGGATGGTTGGGGGGCATTATTATTCATTCTACGTCACGCTTTTGTTGTCTGGTGTTGTGTTGTGCAAGGCTGAGTGTGAGACCTTGGAAGCTCTCGAAGATCGCAGCAAGGTTACCATTAGATCGAAACATGGATACGATACCCAGGCCATCCTTGTAGGGTTTCGAGGATCGAGGTCTGAGAAGGAAAATAAATGAGCATTTTGAGGGGTGGGGGTGGTACAACAGTGAGGGTAACAACAGTTGGAGAACGCCTTCTTCCGGTGGTGTGAGACTTGAGCAGGTTCGTTGGTATCGATGGAAAGTGATGGGAGGGTGGTCCGATCTCAATCGAGTTGAAGTGGTTGGTTGAATGCTGGGCAGCGGCGCAAAAAATAACCACCACCATCGAGGACGAGGGAGAGCGGTTACCCAAACGTCGTCTGAACTACACGGCGGCTCTTTTCTCCAAATCGTCAATCTCCCCGGCTTCGATGGAGCAGTGGAGGTGGCTGTGGCAGCGCCATCCCGTCATTTTAGTCTCCCGCTCCTCCAGGTCTGCGCCTTCGTCAGCACAGCCGCTCTCAGCCTTAGGCCGGTATCGAACATTCTCATCCATTCAATTCACCGCGACAAAACCAAGGCTTTAGGAATGGAAGTCCCATTTTGTCTCTAGTCTGCAATATGGCCTCCCGGATGCAAGTGAGAACGATGTTGGCACTGCCCTGTACACATACCTTCGCGTATCACTTTGAACTCATCGTCTCCATTCATTCAAACACCACCCCTTCAATCATTTACCCTCAAATCACCAGTGAGATAGGTAGCCACCCAAAGACCCAAAATTTCACCAACTTCAGCACTGCCCCAAACAACACCACCCGCTCGCCGTATCATACCACCTAAACCTATACCCCATCCAGAGTTCGTGTCAACGTTAGCAGCCGCCGCCCTGAACACATCATTCCAACACCCTGCCACCATGTTGTATCACCTAACCTTCATATCCATCATCATCCAACTCACAATCTCGGGCAGCACTGACTGCCCTAACCCACATGCTCAACGTACCTGCCTGCCTGCCTTGTCGTCCAACCCAACCCAGGAATACAACGCAATTACTCTCTATTCTACCAATTATACCCCCGATCATATGTAAACCAAACAGCCAATCACCCCCTTACCTACCCCCTTGTGCCATACCACATCACCATTCTCAAAGTCACAACCGCCGGCCCAAATCATGCAACGGCACCAAACTTTGACTAGCCTAATCCAGACTCAGGCTTACACGACAGTGTCATACACATCCCCATCGCCCTTAAACCCCATCAACCACCCACTTTTGTATTCCCACATCATCAACTCCCTCTATCTCACAAAAGTCTCAACGCCGCAAAAATCGCAAGTGTCACAACAGATATCGATCTCAGGTGTGAGCACACTGCTCCCTATCCGACAGCCAACTGCAGGACTCACATAAGACTAAAAAAACACAATATCTTCATCCGAGAAAGTGGGCACTTTTTCAGACTTGACTTGCAGTAATCCGCCCTGCACACAGAGGATAGTCGCTGGTCCCAGACTCCGTTCGATCTTCAAGGTGCATTCTGTACCTGCACGGCGAGGTCATGTTCCTGTCTCTGTCCGCATCTCTACAACCGACATGGATCCCACGTATCGAAAACCCCTTGCAAGATGAGGCTCAATACAAAACAAGTAAAATGCCTAGTACAACGCAGCCTCGGACTAATTAGTAGCCAATGCTAACAAACCGAACTAACTGCATGGTTCTTCCCCTGCCGTCCCAATCCTCCCTCTTGGCTCCCCCTTGATTCTCCCCCTCCCCCCCATCTTGCCCCTCCAAATTCCCCGCTAAATGGGATGCAGTTAGCTCTGAACAAATTGCTGCGTCTGGGGTGGTTGATAGGATACAATCAACTACCAAATGGTATGATTGACGTACCGGCGCGCCAACCATATGTTGTGTTACGGCGGGAATTGCACACTTAGTCTCTCTTGCCTTCCAAGAACCCTGTTGCTGAACCTTGCACCACCTGGCTTAACAATGCTGCAGATGGATGGCACAGTTCGTTTTGCAGCCGCACCAAGGCCCGAAACCCTCCTATATAAACCCATCTCTTGTTGCTCGTAGCCTCGTCCTGAACCATCCTCTTTGCTCCAGCGTATTCTTTTGTGTTTCATTCCCTTCATCACATCGAGGAGGGCTCCGCGAGGAGCGTGTGGCCTTGTTGATCTGCTTCTTCCAAAGTGCTCCTGATAAACACTCCTTCCCACAGATCTCATATTTGTTTGTTCTTAATTCCTATTCAAAAGCAAGTCAGCACATAAAAGTATATCAAAGCAACAATCGGAAGGTGAACAGGAAAACAACAATCATGTCCCGGCGAGGAGGCCCCGATCAGCCCTATGGCGTCAAGCCCATAGTCCTTCCGCCCCCTGGCTTCATCAAGCAGAGCGGCCGTCGTGGCAGATACGGTCCCCAGCAAAATGTCGACGACTTCTGGAAGAGATTCACCAGTGACAATCCAGGAAAAGGTATGCCCTTGATCATTGTCCATCTCCCCTCTTCAGGGAGTTCAGCCCACGGTTGTATCCAACTGCAGAACAACCCATCTTGTATAACAAGCCGCTGATTGCTACCAAAGTAACAAATATTATTCCCAAGAATGAATACGCCGAGAAGCTTGCCAAACGTACCGCCGCCAAAGACCTCGCCAACGGTGGTGGTGGTGGAAGAGCGACAAGCACCTCGTACGAGGAGGCGGCGGCTCTTTGTCGAGCTAAAGTTGACAAGATTGTCAAAGAGTGCAAGAGGGTGAACCAGAAGTATCGCGATCCGCATTTCGACTTGTAGGTTCCAGTTCCCACATTGCTTCCCATGACGTCGATTACTTACCAAGTTACATAGGGAGTGGGACCTCAAGACGAGAACGAGGGACTGTCTGGAGAGTTTGAGCAACTACAAGGATGACTACCCAGAGTATGACAACAGTGACGACGATCAGCCTAGACATCCGAGGCAGCCCCCAGAGTGGAACCCCAGAGGACGGCAGCGCGCGAGAGCGTTGGGAAAGAAGACAAAAAGGAATAGGGAGGGTGGTGAAGAAGAGGCCGAGAAAGAGATCGATTCAGTTGACGAGAGCGATCCTGTGCGCGGAGGTCAGACTGGCTATCAGAAAGGTAGCCGAAAGAAGTCCGCTGAGGTGAGGGCCGAGATGTCTAAGCTCTGCCCCCGGTCTGTCAAACGAGTGGGAGATATCTTTGAAGACCCCCAGTTTTTCATCAAGGGACCCACGGCAGACGATGTTCGTCAAGGGCGAGATGGTGACTGCTGGCTTCTCGCAGCCATCTGTACTCTTAGCAACAAGCCGGGCTTGATCGAGCGGGTCTGCGTCGCTCGTGATGAAAATTTCGGTGTATACGGTTTTGTCTTCAACCGTGATGGCGAGTGGTTCAGCGAAATCATCGACGACAAGGTTAGTTGCCTCCCTCGCATTTGGATCGGGATACAATACTGACGATATTTCCAGCTGTACTTGATCAAGCAAGACTACGATGAGCAAGTCGTAGATGGCTTGATCAACGTCGAACGTCGAATATGGGATGACATCGAAAACCGCCCCGACCCCGAGGAAATCTTCCGGCGAAACTTTCAATCTGGAAGTGTCGCCCTGTATTTTGCGCAGTGTGAGAATCTGAACGAGACCTGGCTCCCGTTGCTGGAGAAGGCATATGCCAAAGCACATGGCGATTATCAAGCCATCGATGGCGGTTTCACGGCCGAGGGTATCGAGGATTTGACCGGCGGTGTGACTTCCGAGTTGAATACCACCGATATCCTGGATAAGGATGCTTTCTGGAAGAACGAGCTGATGAAGGTCAACCAAGACTTCTTGTTTGGATGTTCGACCGGTCACATGGCGTGCGGTTATGGGAACAGAAGAGGCATCGTCGAGAGGCACGCTTACTCCATCATGAAGGCCGTCGAGATTGATGGCGTGCGTCTGGTCATGTTGAAAAATCCGTGGGGCAAGGGTGAATGGCGAGGAGCATGGAGTGACGGCAGTAAGGAATGGACTCCCGAGTGGTTGACCAAGCTGAACCACAAGTTCGGTGATGACGGCTCATTTTGGATGTCGTACAAGGATCTGCTGCGTAAGTATCAGCGATTCGAACGTACGAGGTTGTTTGGGCCTGATTGGAAGATCACCTCGATCTGGACGACGCTCGATGTTCCGTGGTCGCCGCAATACCACCACACCAAGTTCGCCTTCACTTTGGAGAGATCGGGGCCAGTCGTTCTTGTCCTGGCGCAGCTTGATGAACGGTATTTCCGAGGCTTGGAGGGCCGGTATGAATTCCTGCTTGGGTTCCGTGTCCACAAGGCTGGCGAAGAGGACTACATCGTTCGATGTCAGGCTTCGGGCCACGGCATGAGCAGGTCTATCAGCGTGGAGCTAGACCTTGAGGCAGACGAGTACACCGTCCTCGTTTTGATTGACGCGGAGAAGCATGAAGGTTTGATGGAGCCTGAGGAGGTGCTGCGCGCCAATGTCAAGAACCGCCGTGACAAAATACTCCGGATTGGCCTATCGCATGACCTAGCACTCAGCAAAGCCAAGATTGCAGAGACCGAGGAGGAAAAGACTGCGCGTGAGGCCTTTAAGAAACGTCAACAGCAGAAGCACCGCGAAGAGGTCCGGAAGCGATATCTTGACTATCAGAAAAAGATCCACCGCCAGGAGCTGAGGCAAATCAAACAAAAGAAGAAGCAGATGGCCTACGAGAAGGCATGGAGAGTTGGGCAGCAGAAGAAACGTGACGAGAAGAGGCGCGCAGCTCGGGATTCCAGGCAGCATATGAGGCAGGCAGCAGAGCAGGAGCAGGCAGAGGCTGAAGCGGATGATGAAGCTGACAAGCCAAAGGGCAACAACAGGGCGAGGCTCGATGAGGGAACTCAGACTGAGGTTGCTGTGGAGGAGGGCGCAGAGCCCGATAAGAAACCCAAGGATGGCGAGGAACCAATGAAGGTCGGGGAGCAACCTCTGGCCGAGTCAAAAGTCCAGGCGGACTCGGGCGCGGAGAAGCCCAAGCTCGACAAAGAGACCCAAACTGAGATCGAAGCTCATGAGGAGAAAGCCGATGACGAGGCGGAAGCAGCAGCCGAACCTGATGTGTCCACTGTCGGCGAGGATACTCCTTCCCTTTCATCGTCAGGAGCACTTGCCGAAAAGAACAATGCCGAAAAGAACAATGCCGAAAAGAACAATGCCGAAAAGAACAATGCCGCAGAGGAAGGCAGCAGCAATGTTCCTGCCAATCCTGACGAGGAAGCCAAACAGAAGGAGGTCACATCTGAGCCAGTTAAGGCAGCCACGACGGATGATAAAGAAGGAGCCACTGTTGACCCAGCCAAAGATGCTGATGTTGCGTCCAATTCCAAAGACATCGATCCCCATCCCGAGGCTACCCTCAAGCTGAAAAAAGCTCTCGAAGTGGTCTCTCACTTCAAGGCCGAGCTCGAGGACCTCCTCGGGACCAGACCTGACCAGAACAACGTCGAACAGATGCCTCGTCAACCTCACCCGCCCCCCATGGTCCCCATCTACCACCAGCACCCCGCCCAACCCCATCACCACCCCTTCAACGGGCCTCACCCTCTCTACCAGCACCCCATCATCCCCCAACATATGTATCAGCAACATCCCGGCTCCCAATCCCGCCCCCCTTCTAGACCCCCTTCGAGACCCCCTACAGCCGACTTACAACAATTCCAGCCTCCCCTCTTTTCCCGACCCCCTACTTTTTACACACATCCCCAGCAGCAATTCCAACTTCAATACCAACCTGGTCCCCCTTCCTGCCCCCCTTCCTGCCCCCCCTCTAGAGCCCTAACAGCCCCCTACTACCCCTACAACCAACCCCCCCGCCGCCCCTATCCCCAACAGCACCCCCCCGACGACGGCGGCTACATCTCCGACACCCCCTCCATAATGCCCCCCATGTCCCCCCCAGACCTCTCCGACTCGGAGCTCGACTGCCTCGTCTCCGACAACGACGACAACGCAGCCAACCTTTTGAGAAGCATGCTCCCCCGTGGGCCCCCTGGTGGTCCCCCCGGGAATGGCCCTGGTGGTTACAGGTCAGAGGAAGAAGATGAGTTTGTCAAGGACCCCTGGAATGCGGTTGTGGCGGTGGGGTTGAGGGTTTACTACCAGGTGAAGGAGGAGGATAAGGATGTGGAGGGGTTGGTCAAGGTTAGGGTTGTGAGGCCCAATGAGTGGGAGGTGAGTGATGATGAGGAGGAGGAGGAAAAGGGGGAAGGGGTGGAAGAGGAAAAGGTGTTGGATGTGGATGACAGTGCGAAGGATGCGACTGTTGAGGGGGGGTTGGAGCATACTGCTTGAGTAATTGAGGAAAGAACAGATTGTGTGGGGTTTTCATGGGTTTGTTTGCGTGTTTGTTTCTTTCGGTGGTATAAGAAGAGGATGGGCAGATTGTCGTTTGTTATTCTTGTTGGAATTTTTGCAAGCAGGGCGTTCGTACTTCTAGGTAGTGGGATGCCGATTTGGTAGGTAGCCGAAAAAACTGATGACTGATTTCCTGTAGGCGTTTTCAGTGGGGTAATAATATGTTGAGCACACCAAAGTCATCATCATCGGCTCTTCATTACCTAAGTTAAGTTGGCACGTAACGTCAACATCAAGTCATGTTGTCCCCATTTTCTTTGTTCCTTCATCAACCACGGTAGCCTGAATCGTGACATCCAACATTGAAAGGAGAGAAACGGGAACCTGGCGCCGTAAGGTATCATCGACATGTATGAAAGCTCCTCGCTGGTCTGGGATGTGTTTGTGTACCCAAAAGTGAAAAAGTGTTTTAACACGCCCGAGATCGGTGTGCTATTTTTCGCCTGTGTCTCCTCCTGCCTCAGCTTCTGGCGCGGTGGCGGCGCCCTCCGGTTTCCTTCCGTAGACCACGTAGAGCTTGTGGTAAGCGTGGATCTTTCTGTTGAAGAGACTCCTCCTTACGTCCACGAGGGAGACCTATACCACAACGTTAGCTCCATCATCATGAAAGACAAAAAAAGAAAATATGTTGCTGGAAAGGAAAAAAGAATACCTCAATCTCCTCCTGCGTCTTCCCCAAATGCTTGCTAAAAAACCCCAGACTGAAACCCTGCAAGCCATCCAGCAAGTTCCTCTGCCACAGCATCCCCACGTGTTTGAGTCTCGTGTCCTTTGGCCAGCCGTTGAGCGGGATCTTGAACACGGCCTCGTGGACGTCGACAAAGCCGACTTCCCTCATCCAGTCCTTGAGCTGCTCCCCGACGTCGACCTGGCGGTTGGCGAGGCGGGAGCTGTTGTAGAGCTCGAGGGTCCACTTGAGCCAGTCGTAGTCCGGGGGCATGGTCCCGTCGTCGCAGTGGGGCATGCCGGGGACTTCTTGACACTCGAGCCAGCCGCCTGGTTTGAGGTGGTGGAAGGCGCGGGCGATGATTTCCTTCTTCATGTCGGCCCAGCAGCCGATTGTGACGCGGGTGTGGATGAGGTCGAATTCTGAGGGGGGGTAGTCCCTTGAGTACATGTTAGTGGGGAGCGGCTTTAGTGGGAGGGAAAGTAGGGCATGCATACCATTCTTCGGTTCTGTGGGAGATGTGTTAGCCATCGGAGGATAATTGATAGGGGAGAGAGGGTAAAACATACGAATCCTCCACAAAGAACCTCACGTTCGGTGGCACAAACGGCGGTTGAATCGGCGAGAGGTCCGTTCCTACTATCTCAGCATCCGGGTACTCGTCTCCCATCTCGATGGCCCAAAGCCCAGTCCCTGTGGCGATGTCGAGCACCTTCCGCGGGTACTTTTCGCGGGTAAACGGCGCCAGATGAAGCCGCCCGTCCATGATGACCTTGATGATCTCGTACTGCTCGTCCATTCGCTCTGCTTCCGTGGGGTCATTGGGGAAGTAGTATGCTAGGCAAAGTTGTCAGTCACCAAGGTCGAAGCAGGAAGAGAAGAGAGGACATACAGCCGGCACGGTAGGAATGATATGTCCTGCCAAACTCCTCTCGGAAGTCGGCTATGGACTCGGAAAGGGATTGGGTGTCACTAAAAGGTTGGCATCAGTCTTGCGTCAGGCTGTTGACTAGGCCAGGCAGGTTGTTCATACTAGATGTCATGGGGGTTTGACTAGAAGCAACAGGATTCAGCTTGGCTACAGGGACATTGGACGATGCTCCTCGGACAACTTACATCAGCCTCGATGTGTGATGAGTCGTCGAGGACAGACTCAAAGGTGAACCTGTCGTCATCGACAGGCTTTGAGGCCGTGCTAGAGGATGACACTTCAGACGTGCCAGACTTGGTAGACTCAGCCATTGTTGAGATATTGGCACCAGAGAGAGTATGCCGAGATGGAGCTTTGGCGTGCGGCGCGGCTACACTACGAGGTAGCGAAGGGGGACGGGCAAAGGAGAAGGCCGAGAAATATGTTACTTGAGAAAAGACAAGACACAAGGTCCAGAACACCGTATAAGCCAGCGGTCGGCGACTCCTCCCCGGATCCTCCACGCAAGGCCCTTTGCGCTCGGAACCCTCCCTGCTGGTCCCTTGGTTCTTTGTCGATTTGAGCGGCAGCCTTGACCCAACAGTTTGGGTGTGATCCAGAAGCGGGAGCGTTCTGTCAGAACAAAGACCCGTGTGCGTGGATCACTGGCCCAACAGTTCGGAACGGGTCTCGACTGCCCTTGGGTGGTGTGGACTTGGACTTGTTGGCAGATCGGGAAGCTCTCGGTGCCCGTTGATCGATCAGTCTGTGCCGTGCCGTTACCTAGCTAAGTTGTATTAGTGTCGTACCCAGCAATTGTCCGCCGATGGTGTGGGAGGTCCTGATCGCTGTGGGTAAGGTAGGTGACCAACTGGGTAAATTTCTCTTGATAAATCAGTGGTGGGGAGTAATGATGATGGCGGCAGCAGCAAAAGATTATAGATCCGGCCCTAGAGTCGCATACCACCCTGAGCTGATTTTGCCCACGGAGCTAGCTTTGGCCCTGGAATGGTGAAGAAACGGGGGTTTTACAAGGGATAGCAAGGGATACTGCAGCATGTTCACGATGAGCCCTGTGTCGGGTGCCGTCCCGTTCAGGCGAGATTTGGGTGTGGGAACTCCCGTTGTAGTGGGAAGCATGCTGATCATGGGCGCTAAAGTAGCAAGGGACTCCTGGGTTTTAGTGAGGTTTATCACCCGAATATTTAACTGCCGGTCTTCCCTCTTTCCCAATCATTCTCGCCATCGATCTTGCTTCCTGTTCTCGCGACTTATCACGATTCAAGTTGGCATGTGGCCAAATTCATGGCACGGTGCCGCTAACCGAAGACCACCGGAGTCTGGAGTGGACCTGGGGAAGGCTGCTGAAAAACAGGTCCACGGGTGCCTGGAGATGGTCAGCTTGCCCGTTCTTTGTTTTCTTTTCGTCTTCGACAACCTCTGATGCAGAGGCGTAACAGGTATCGCGTGGTAATTAAGCTCAACCTATCAGAAGGCCTCCCCCGTATAGATGGCTGTGTAGCAGTCTCCGCTTCGGGTTGTTGCGTGCTGCACGCTGCATGACAGCTCGATATTCCCCTCACTCTCACCGGCTCGCTGGGTGAGGGGCAACATGGAACAACAGCCTGCAGCTGCACATCTAAGGCTTCCATTTATCGCCTTCTCAAATGGGGCATATATTTCTATCACCATCAGACTGTCTTCCGACCTTGGCACGTCTCTAGACATCCATTCACACTCAACGCTTGGTAGCAGGCCCGTCATGGGCTCACATCTAGTACTAGGACAGATTGATAACAGCCGGTTGATATCTCATCCGACTAGGGGAAATGTCCGGAGAAAAAAAATCTAAAAAGTCCAAAGAAAGTTCCGCACGTTTCACGTTACACCCGCTACCGAGAGGGTTACAAGGCTACCGTCCTTCCCCATCCATCGCCAGGGGTGTCCCCGACCACTTATCTGCTCCAACCTGTTGCAGAGCTCAGGTTTACGAGGGGTCGAATGACGATGGTTTCCCCCATGGCCCAACTAGCATTCCCTCCTGCCTAAGGGCCCGAGAGGAAGCACCCATCCCGCTCGCATTTACCGACTCCGCAGGCGCCATGCATATGACCAACCAGTTGACACTCTCAAATCTACAGCATGCTTTCAAAGATCCCTCTCAAGCACTTTTCCTCCCCCCGTCATTGGCCCTTCTCAAATATCCTCCGAGCCTCACCGTCTTCTCTTAGCACCTTGCCAAGTCAGCCATTGCCGGGAGCTTTCCTCCGAATCAAACACCAAGAACACCCGCCCTCCCACCTCCATCCCGCCCATCAGGACGACCCCGAACACACCCACCGGTCCAGATCTCCACCCCGACCCCGGACCCGACCCCC